TTCAAGTACCATCAGACTACTTTTATGCAACCCATTGGAGCTGCCTACTGGAGGAAAGAATGCAGGTTTAACAACACTATTATTGCTTACTACACAGCTAATTAATTCTGCCCACTAATCATATATTGTCAATTGTTTGTAAAGACTAACACATTTCTAATTAAAAAGACAATGCAGTGAGTTGTTGAGTGCACTGGTCTTTTAATGCGTGTTCATGGTTTTTTATTCTAACGACGTCTGCGCGGGACAGTCCGCCTGCGTCTGCGGACCAGCAGTGGACTTTGCTCGCCTCCTGCGTCTGCGGGCAGGACGAGCGCGTATCTGTAACCGTGGCCAGGGATTGGTCAGGAAATAACATCCTGAGTGTAAGCTGGTTCTTATTTGATATCTTTCGTGATGTCACTTATGATCCATCAACTCGCTGTCACAATCATTGAGAAATCAATAACACATAATTTCGGCAAAGAAACCATGGCGTACATTACCCCTCCCATCTTTGGCTCAGGTTCAGTCCAGTCTAATTTACTTAGTTCATTTATTATGTAATACAATTACTATTTATTTTGTTCAGTCAGCTATTTCTATGGTTGCAGTGTCGTTTAAATGCAGGGAATACATGTTTATTACTGACTTTGTCAAAAATAACCGTCTGGATGCATGGGTCCTTATAAATCCCTCCAGGGAAGTTTTGCTCATGATGTAACCCTCTTGATACAAGCCTTACTTCTACTATTTGAAACAGCTAGAGGTTAATTGGTAAGCCCAACAAAGCTGAGTTCTGCTCTGCTGGAGATCAAGCTTGGTTTCATTCAGTATCAACATGCATTGCAAGCTCTCACAACTTTTGCGCTCGAAGAACTTATTTCAGACCGTCTGACCAGAACAATGAAGGCGATGTAGGGGACCTATTAAATAGTTGTGCCCTCACACAGCAGCAGGTCTGATGTGTGTGTTCAAATTTTGGTGTGATTACACTAATTGCCAAAAAATAAGTGGATCAGTTGGTTGTGGACAGAACAAGATTGTAAATGTTTTTCAAATTTACTTGTAGTTTGCAATGACAGCGCAGATTATACAACTTTCCATTCTACATAAAATCAAGACTCAGCTTTTTAAATGGTGTTTGAATGACCATAATGTTACTTTCGTGTTTGAAATAAATTGAAAAAAAGATGAAAGAGGTGAATGGGAAACTAAAGCACTCTTTAGTGTCATTAGTAACTTATTTAAAAAGAGTTATTATTTTTAAAGGGAAAAAAAGCTTACCACATCGACTGTAGGAAACAGGAATTGATGTACATTTTTGTTTTGACTCGTTGGATATTAACAGTAGAACCAACAGATAATAGAGGTAGGTATTAGTAGGTATGAGGTCCAAAAGGTAAGTGTAGAAAATAAGATTCAATTTTTAAGATAAAATAAAGGACAGGACAGACGGGACTTAATGCAACATTTCATATCATGAACAAAAAATGTGAGCATGTACTGTACTGTCGCTGAAGATGGGAGTGGGGTATTAAGATAAGATAAGAGTAAGACTATCCTTTATTATGTCCCATAATGGGGGAAATTCCAATGTTACCAGCAAACAAAGTGGATAGAGAAAAAACAGTATAAAAAAAACAGTAAGAGTGGAATAATATATATAATAAAAACACTTTGTACAAGGCAAAAGACCCAGTAAGAATCCAAACGACAAGATAACACAAATAGTAGCAAGCAAAAGAACAGGTTGGCCATGGGCAGTAGATTGACACAGTGAATATGACATGGTATTGCACAGTAATTATTGCACACTTGTTGTTGTCCAAAACGATTATTATTATTATTGATAGAGAATAGATAGATAGATAAGATAGATAATAGATAGATAGATAGATATTATAAGATAGATAGATAGATGATGGGGGGGACTGAATCTTGTGGGGAAATGTTCATACCTCTTACTTGATTTATTAGCTCACTAAACAGTTTGCTAATTAGTTTATAGTCTTAATTACTAGTTTCAAGGCTTTTTCCAGACAACATGATGTTCATTTGGTAAATTTTGGTCACGTTTAGAGTAGAATAGACAATAAAGCAGCGTAAAGCGTGGCTACCTTATGACTCAGCATTATGGATGTCCACATGACTTAAGAACATTGAGACTTAAGAACAGCATGCCACTAACCAATGGGTGGCATCACAATAGGTTGCTCTAAACCCAAACTGGCCTAACCAGTATCACATCATCGGGAGGTTATTTCCTCAGACTTGACAAAGATATTATACAACTCTTTTCATAGACAGTGGAGTACTAGCAAGAGTAGTAAACTGGCTTCCACATATAAAATCAAAAGGCCTGTTGCTCATGAAAATGTCCAGGTTTCTTATCATCCTTATGTGGTCTTCGCCATCTAGTGGATACAACTGTGCATAAACACCAAAAGCATTACATTGTTAATAAAAGGTTATTAATGCAACTTGTCATTATGCTGTTCACTTGTGAAATGTGCCTTATGTTTGCAAAATACTGTATGTCAGGAATATGTCATAAACCAAAAACTCAAAAACCCACAAACCACACTGTCGGAGAGACTTCACGGCTTCATTCAGCATTTTTCACTCACTCTCAACGTGGTTCAGTGAGTTTTATAATTACATTACAAATAAAAGAATACAACTATATATATATATATATATATATATATAAAAACTTTCTTTTCTTTTATTCTTCTATTTATAATGTAATTATAAAACTCATTCCGGTCCAGCAGGTGTCGCTCCACAATTTATCGAATCGTTCAATATATGTCACGTGTCCTCTTTTTCTGCTTCGTTGGTGCACTTGCCCGCAAAGGGAAGTGTCCTCCATAGTGTCATTGCAGGTTTCTCGAGGTTGAACATCCAGAAATAAGCAATGTCTGGGTACACAGCGGACGAGAAGCTCCGTCTCGAGCAGCTCAGAAAGCTCCGGAGGCAGTGGCTGAAGGACCAGGAGCTCAGCCCGAGGGAGCCCGTGGTACAAGCCAAGCCCCCCGGGGCCGTCGCCAAATTCTGGGCTGGCTTTCTGGAGCCCAAGAGCCTGTGGAGGCTTTACGTGAGTCCCGATACACAGCTAACGTTGCCAGCTTAGCGAGTAAACAACAAACGGAAACAGCTTATACAGTGTCTGTTTTATTAAAGTTAACGTATTCAGGGCTGCAGATACAGGTACATATTCACTCGCCTACACCTGGTGAAACAGCTAAATCAACAGTTTGGTTGTGTCACAGTCTGTGAAGTGTAACAACTTAGTGTAGACTATACAAACACTGTGCGTCTTGTACTACGTTGTTTTCTTACATCTGGAGAACAAGAGTTGTAGGCGAGGACATCTCTGCAACACTACAGTACTTATTTGACCTTTATTTAAAAATGGGCAGCTTGTGCAGTTTGGATATTGTGGTTTTGATCGTATTTTTTTATTAATTGTGCAGCCCTAAAAAATACTAAACATTCTCTGATTTCAAATGATTATCTGTTTTATATAATTATGAATTACATATAGTGTTGGCTTTACTAAATGGCCAATAGGTCTTTTTAACTGAATATTATGACATGTCAGTATAGGAGAAGCCCATGTGTAAAAAATA